AAGGGAAAAAATATTTTTGGAAAAAGGCGTCCATTAGTTTGTAGCCCGTTGAACGGCGATTCGAATGGTGTATTATCGTAGAGGTTTCCTCTAAAAACCAGGGACTAGATAATTCTGCCAGGTACATGACTCAATTTTGACTTTTCATCCGCGGACGGTCGTGGAATTTAGCTGAAAATTTTTCAAAGGTAGTCGAACATATTCAACTTTTTGTGCTGAATTCGAATATAGAAAAAAGAAATTTTTTCGACGTTCGAAAACAGGTGAAAAGATTCACTTTTCGAAAACGGTCGGTTTTTTCGATTTTCCCGTTTTTCAAACTTTTCAGCCGAGGAAAAAACTTTTAAAGGTCTCAAAGGTGATATTCGTGATCAGCTCGACGAGCTCTATCTAACCATGTATAACTCGATAAGATTCATTTTTGGCACGAACCTTTTGAATTACCGGCACCTTAATAACAATGACATCAGAATCAGCACAAGAAATTGCATCGAATAGTGTGCGATTAATAGATTTTTGTGAGCAAAAACTTGTTGGATCTAACGAAACGGTAAAATCAAAGCATAGAGTCATAATTTTGATGTTGGCCATGTTTCACGAAATGAGATGTTGGCGTTGAAAAGTTTCTGAAAAGTATTTTAAGGTCACTAGATTTTCTGGAAAGCCGGGTTTTTTCAGCATATTTTTCAGAAACTTTGTTCGTAGTGTACATAACAATTGAGCAATAGGTAGTTTTGTTCGCCGTTTAAAGCTGCATCGAATGGTATATAAGACTTTCCTTCAAATTTGTTGTATTCTGAGAAAATTACGAAAAAGGCCTCAGAATGGGCTCGCGGAGCTATCGTTCAAAGCTGATCGATTTTCTGACCGATATGAGGTCCGAAGGGGAACCAAGGGTGTAGAACCCCATAAAACTGTACGCTATTTCATTCTAGATACCTTTCGAGATGATCTGAAATGGGGCCGATCCTCGTTCTTATTGTACCCCGCCCTTTGTTGAAATTTATCAACTTCGGCGCTTTTTAGACGTAAAAACCCGAAAGGCTTTCTAGAAAACCCTTTTCGAAACCCCTATACTATCAAAAATTATTCCACAGGAAAGTGCGCATGCAAAAACCTATAACAGTTTAAAAATTTGTCAACTTCGGCATTTTTTAGTCGTGAAACCCCAATAAGTTTTCTAGATTTCCTTCTTTGAAAAGCCCTGTACTGTCAAAAATTATTCCGTAAGAAAGAGCGCATGCGAAAACCTATTTTCGCTGAGTTTTGACGTGACTGAATACATTTAATCCAATGTCGGTCTGCCGAGGCAAAATTGACCACTGTGGAGTAGGGCTTTGTGTGACAAATCTGGATGAACTATATCGTAGCTAATACAGTTCTAGTTTTGTCCCTTATCAGTGATAACGTTGAAAATAGTGGAAACATATGCCATCCACACACTGAACACCCGGGAATATTTGTTTTGCGTCCCGGAGTCAGAGCTGACCACCTTTATTTTAAACTGACTGGAAGCTGCAGGCAGGTTGCAGTTTGTAGGTGAACGGAAATGTTTTCCAGTGACGGTCGGCAGCTAAAGATGAAATGTTTTTCTGTCTGCAGTCCTTGTAGGAAAGATTTTGTCTACAGGGTGTTGCATAACCTTTTTCCAGGGGGGTAACGACGTGATTTTAAAGTATTCTTCTTCGAATTCTGGCATCGTTCTGTTCATAAGTCCATGTTTCCATCTATTTTGAATGATATTCGACATTATCATACAAAATAATCATCAATGTTTTGGTCGCGAACGAATTGAGATAGTAAATCATCATCATTTAAACGGAACATTCTTCATTTTTTCTTCTTCTTATCTGTCTTTTAACTTTTCTTAATCGATGTTCTTTGTTGCTTCTTTAATTAATTAATAAAGTTAATTATACATACGATAGTTTCTTTGATTTATCAGTATTTACTTTAATCCTATTAGAAAAGACTAGAAACGGAATATTTTTCGTGTTTTTCAAGATGAGGAACACTTCTATCACTCTATCTATTGTATTCTATCTGTAAGAAGGTGGAACACTTTTTTCTTACGGGGAACACCAGCTATAATGTCACTATGTCGTCTTTAACAAAAGAGGTGGAACACTTTTTTCTTATGGGGAACACCAGCCATAATGTTACCATACATTCACGGTGGAACACCTGCTAAAGGAATACCCCCGTAAATATTTGTCCTCCTATCCCGAACCCGCAGGGCTCTAGCTGTAATCCTCTTTTACAAAAAAAGTCCAAGCAATCTCTGCAGAATATTATCTCTTCTCATTATTTGGTAGAACCCCTCTTAAGTTTTTCTTGAACCATTTCTAAATTACGTTGTCGAATTTTTGTCCATGGATGATCGGCTGGCAATGCTTTTTTAGATATTTCGATTGCTTTGGTCAAATTCTTCACCGATTCCCGATATTTTCGTTCTTTGTCGAGTGCCAAGACAATGTTGCTGTACGTATATGCAATGGACGGGTGGCATGGAAGATACTTCAGTTCAATATCAAGTGCTTTCTGAAACATTTTTAATGCCTCTGAACATTGGCCTATTTGATATAAGACACGACCAATGTTATTGTATCGAATAGCAAGTTTTTTTTGGATTTGCACCAGCACTTAGATTAATGTCAAGTGCCCTTTTGTAGTTGTCGAGTGCTTGTTGCCACATACCTAAGTTGTTATAAAAAATCATCCATCTAGGATGTGTTTAGGTAAAAGCAGTACCCTTTGCCCTCAACAGTGGCGTAAATACGGGGAGGGGGCATTGGACCATAGACCAGTGCGGTTTGAGCTTTGGCTCAATAAGATTTTGAACTTTGCGATTTCCCTAGCTTCATAAGTTGAAAAAAAGCTTCTTGGCCCATCCCTTTCTCGAATTATCCTATATGGCGTAGTCGTTCTTTTCGAAGTAATGGAGTTGACCCAATGGTAAAAAAGTCCTACTTACGCCACTGGTCCTTAATGCATATGTATAGGTCTATGTTCTGCCCCGACACATCCAGTTTTAGAAAACAAGGTCTTTCTGAGAAGTTTTGCCGAAAACAACAACAACACATATTATTTTGTTTAAGGGCTCCGTCCCCCCAGAAATGGTGATTTTCGGTTAAAAAATCGATTTTGAGATAAGCACATGGAAAGATAGCCTGAAGTATCTACTCCCAGAATCTGCATTGCTTGGTTATAAAACAGGTTTTTCGGGGATGTTGAGCAAGTTTTTTAAGAGCCTGGAAAAACCGAGTCTTCAAATAATAGTTTTTTCCTGGATACTAATATAATTAAAATTTTTCTGAACAACAGATTTGTAGAGCAAACGTTTCTGACCAAAATAAGATCTCATACAACTCTGTATGACCTTGCATCAAAAAGTTACAGGCATTTTCCTAGAAGTCCTACAATTGAGCATTTTATACAGCGTTTTCTCTACATGGAAGTTATACCTGAAGTGTGTCCCAAGATTTTTAATAGCGGCTTGTCGTAGAGAGTTCATTATTTTTTTGTTTAAAAGGAGAAAAGAAACTACATCGACTGACAAGGGCCGATTTTTGAATTAGGTCCTAGTTTTTTGTCAATTAGAGGATTTTTAGAAAATCCGGAAGGCTTTTTCGGGTGGTTTTGGAGGCTGTTGATTATCTGGAAAACCAATAAAGGCTGAATTAAAAAATCGGCTCTTATCAGTTGATTTAGTTAGGTGTCTAGTTTAAAATAAAACAAACGCGAACTCTCCATATTGAAGTATATTAAAAAATCTTGAGACACACTTCAGGGTCCTTTTTGAACCTTGATCGCTCGAAAACTCCTGAATGGTAAGACTTGGAAGCAAAAACATTTTTTCATTCCCGTAACTCATTGTGCCTAACATTTATGGAAAGTTTCGTCAAGATCGGACGTACGGGCTCGGAGATAATTTCTAGGGGGAGCAGCTCTTAAGAGCCAGTATTCTGAGAAAATCAAACAGATCAGTTTGTGCTGGAATGGGCCTTTGATGATAGAATCTAAGTTGCACTTCAAGAGTTTAACTAACGTCAAAATATCGATTCCAGAAAGTTTTTCTCACTGTCAACACAAGACACCATTGAAACAGGGAAAAGTAACTATTTGTGAGAATAATTAACCTGGTTTTAAACGCCAAATACAGGCGTCCATTTTTACACAAGTAAATGAAGGAACTTCTGACTTCATTACTATCGTTAGTTGACTACCCCGTGTCTTGTATTGTAAATGGCTCAATCGGTAATGAGTTTAGAAAAAAGTAAATAATTCTCTTAAGTATAATTTCCGATTCTTGCCCAGGCTTTTATCAACAAATAATCTGTGAGATTAACACGTTTAGAACCTAAAACTATGGACAAATATTAGAAAAAACAGCGACAAAACGGACACTGTTATTTCTAGCTCTTTTTTATTTGTTTTCGATTTTCTCTTCTTTTGATTTTGTCAGAAGCTGGCTCTTAAAAGTAAATCTTCTAGAAGTCTAACGCGCAAGGGCATGTTTTATCTACAGACATCCTTAGTGGATGATCCCCAAACTGATCCAATGTTATTGTATCTAGTTGCAAATGATTGATCACCTTTTGGTACGTGTTTTTTCAATATTCGTAAAGACATATCAAAATGAGCAAGTGCTTTTTGATGTTCTTTTTTTTGCATGAAAATTAATCCAAGGTCATTGTAAATTAAACTGAGGCAACGATATCTTTTTTGCAATAACACATCAGAGACTAATGTATTGTAAAATTGTTCGGCTTTTTCAAACTGACCCATTTGCATCATCAATTTCGCTAAACGAATCATTTCATTTGATGATTGAATTTCTTTTCTAATTTGATTTGTTACTACTTTCAATTGTTGATCTTCAGCTCCAGTGAATATCAAATAGACAATCCACATACCATCGGACAATCTCTGCACCTTTCTGATTCGAAAAACTGAACCAAATGAAATTAAAATTTCCTTTTCTTTTTCAAAATAACTTCGTTTTTCAACATCGGCAAATGGACATTGTTGTGACCGTATTCTAGAATCAAGTTCAATTCGATATAAAACTGATTCAGATAACTGCTTTTGACGGGCACGAGCAAAGTCCAACGCTACTTTTTTATCTATGCTAGTCAACATAAAATAATTCATCGATATCAAACCGCCTACATAACGTTTCAATTTTGTTTCGAATTCTTCTGTAGACATACTTTCGCCGCGGTAGACAATCTTTGAATATCCTTCTAGTGATTCAGAATGTAACTGTAAATGAAGGTCTTTTATATAAAATCTCATTTTGTAGATGATGTTAATGTCTAGTGTTCTCAATGCTTTATTCAACATTCTGTAAAGAAAACAGTCACGTGTGTACCACCAAATAGCATTTTTCGGTAAATATTCTTGTTCGAATTCGTTAATTATCGAAAATTCATATGTATTGTCTTTATATTGTTCACGACAAAATTCAATAAATTCTTGTTTATTCTCCTCCATATGTTCCATATCAATGAGAATTTCTTTTATCAACTGCAAGTACATAAATGATGGTTCTTGGTTGTTAAATATACCACCACGGGCAATATTTATGTTTGGATCAAATGATGCATGCCCCATGAAATCATTTGAGCATACTTTTGTATCCCATTTCATTTGTTTACATAATGGATCAATGTCGTTGTACACGTTACGAACTTTTCCATATTGCTTCGTCCATAATTCATGCTCGACTATAGCTGTACTATCCGAACAAAATACATAAATTGAATCAAGTTGTGGCTCATTATGAACACGATCAATAAGTTGTTCTGCAAGCATATCAGAAACAATTATAAATATTTTTTCATTCTTAACACTTTTTACATAGTCAACACATTCATCTGACTGATCAAATATTTGAATATAATTAACAATTGAACGTAATTTATTTAGTATAACATTGTAGTCCATTTTATTCGAATCAAAATCAAGCAAAATAAGGACAAAATCTTCGACATTTTGTTGGGACGAAGTTTGATCAGAACGCCGTCGTACAGGCTTAGGTGCAGGAGGAGCACGAGTTTTGGGGTTGATTGACACAACAGGTACTGGAGTAGGTCGTTGAATAGTTTCTACTCTTTTCGGTGGAGAGTGAAGAGTAATTGGTTTGGAGAAATTGGAAGAATTGGTCTTTTGTGAGAAACATGAACAGGAAGAGCCCATAATCCACCTGATAGAAAAACAAAAACGAAACACTTTGAGCAAATTATTTCTGGGATTTGAAGTCAATATGTCTCAGATAAAAAAGGGACTTTACCAAATGATTTTATCGTTAAAGTTGTAAATTTTTTTCAATTAACTAACTCAGTAAAGTGTGTGTAAAATTTAAAGGTTATTAATTATCTTTAAAAAATACATGAGTTATTACTTGATCCCGTCGATTGTTGTAAAGTGCTTATAACAAGCACCAACCCACTGAAATTCGCAGAGAAAATGAGACAGTTCATAAAACGGAACGATTGCCGTACTTAAAATACGCTGGGAAGATCTGTTAGTGCAAGAAATATCCAGAGGATTACAAGAAGCCAAAAATTTCTAATAAAAGCACAAATTATCCTGACGAAGGAACCTCTCTACCTAATTAGAGCTTGACGTATTGTAGTTTTAAGGGCAACGATTCTCTACAAAATTCTACAATAATTGCAATTGACTTAAATGATTTAAGCATTTTTCTTGCGATACTTCGACCTTAAACGGTCATTCTCAAACGTTAATCTTACAACAATAGCAGTAAATATTAATATAACATCATATTTAAAAATGAATGTTCTTCGTTATTTTTCCCATGTATATAAAAGAAAGAAAAAACATCATGCAGCTGTATGTACTGTAATTTTTGTAAGATAGAGTTTGAGAATGACGATTTGGTATCTGGACTGTAGTCGAAGTGCATCCACTATTGTAACACTGCTGGAATGAAAAATAATTCTGCTCAGATGAAATTTATTGGATGAATATCTGAAATTAGAGAAAAAATTAAATATGATTTTACTTTTCAATTTCATTTTTTTCGAGCCTACTATCGTTACCGAGATATTCGCTATTTGCATTTTTGCGCACGTGTATATTCGTCATAACCTGACGGCATATGAAAAGGGATTGGGTGATGTTCATTAGAAAACTTTCATTAAAGCGATTTTTTTTATGGAAGTACCGGAACCTTTATTAAAAATGTTTTGAATGAAAGTCTAAGTACTTTCATTAAAATGTCTCGTGCAAAATGGCTGTCACCTATAGTTTCTGATGGCACACGAATTCCATTAAACTTTTAATGAACTTCCTTTTAATGAAAGTTCTTTTTATGAAAAATTTTTCAGTGAAACTTCGATATCTCATGAAAAGCAAATTTGGAAATGTCTCGGTAATAACTATGGTAAACTAGAAAAAAATGAAATTGAAAAGTGAAATCATATTTAAGTTTCTCTCTAATTTCAGATATTCATCCAATAAATTTGAGATAAGATCAAACCAAACTTCCCTCCATTTGACTCCTAGTTACTAGCCGTTCAAAGAAGAAAATAAGTGTCATTCTGATAATTTGGCGAAAAGAAAGTATGTGCGTACAGGTAAGCTGCTGTCATTGTTTCTTTATTTACTTTATTTAGTTCAACACGTTTACCAACAAACAGAGAAAAACACTGAAGTCTGTTATACACTGAAACTATAAGAAAAACACCCATGATGTACCATTATGGCGTTTAGCTAATAGCATTCAGGCCTTATCAATACTAAAGTACGTTTAAGCAGATTCTTAGCATACGATTCAGCCACGATTTTAAGATCGTTCTGTACATTAGTTAAGTGTGAGAAATTGACAAAAGTATATAACAAAATATAACAAAAAGGGCTCGTTTTCGGTCAAGATATGAGCGATATCATTCAAAGAGATTGCCATCAATTCCTACCAACGAAAATTTCGCTAGAAGGAGCTGATCAAGCGGCCCGTCGAACGCCTTCCCAAAGTCAAATGCTATTTCGATTACTTTGCACCATTTTTCAAAGTGTTTGTTGAGTTCAGTGGTGATATATAATAACGCATTAACATGGACGAACTTGATCTAAAGGTAAACTGAACTTGGTTCGATAACTAACGAGAGAACCATCCCACATGATCCATCTCGTTTTCAACCATAATTTGCTGATATGTAGAGCATATTGCCCTGAAAAAAAATCTTAAAGGATCTGGGCCTAAGGTGCTTCCTTTAAGAGCTATTGAATTTTTTCGTTTCGACGAGCAGGGCGATTCCTAACGTTAAATTTTTTATAACTCAGTCAAAACATTGAGTTAAGAGCTCAAACTTTTTTCTCATCACAGCCTAGTCATCTACTAATAATCCCCAAAGATTCAGATCTTTGGCTGTTATACTGGATAAATAATCGAATTTCGAAGTTTTCCCTAACTGATTCGTCTTCTCTCGTTTTATTTATTTATATATTACATATATTATATTTGATGACTGTTCATAGCATCATTTTCTCTTCGATTGAACTCGTGGATCGAACAATACTGTTGACCTTAGAGACTTGTCGGAAAAGTGTTAGAAAGTTGCAACAACAATTTTCGAAATTATCGTGGACTTTTAGCGAGAAAATGTGACCATATTCTGAATCTGATCGATGTTCTTCCTAAGCTTTTTCTTTGGTCCGATCCATTCATCAAAGAGTGCTGTTGCGAAGCGTACAACAAAAAAGGCAAACAGCATAGTTACTTGTCAACATGAGGATGATACTTTATTATATAATATTCTCATTGAAAATAATAGCGAACAATTATTGTTCATCCAGAAAAGCAATGGCTTCGGTTGTTTTTTATATAGCTTTTGATAGATTTGAGATAAAGAACTTTGATTTTCATCATTCGAAAACGTAGACTTGGAACCATGTTTCCATAACCAAAACCTTTTCAAGAAGAGTTTTGTGAAATGGATTCAGGATACGATTAATGTTGTTCGCTAAACGTGATTATAAGACCGAAGAAATGGAAAGATACATTTTTATTAATTCCTTTTCCAGAAACCCTTTTGGAAAACCTTTGGTTTTGTAAAATTTCTTTCGAGATCTCCTATGAATAGGACAAAGAATAGCCTACCTTCTGAAGTTTTGAACTTGTTCTGATGGTTTTTGAGTGAATAGTGAATTTTTAATATTAGGTGAAAACAGCCTGAAAACTCAGTTTTCCGTGAATTTCGAAAATTTTTCTGAAACAAACCTTGCCACGAGACTGATCATGCTCGATTGTCCATGGTGCATTAGTTTTCATGGTTACCAATATATACCGGAGACCAGTCCTGAAACTCGCAGGAAATCCGAGACAAGGCCCGAACCGCAGAAAATCAAGTCTCACTTGGCTCCCATTCAGAAGACGACACTCAAGGCTATCAGTTGATGAATTAAAACAATACCATCCTATTAGGAAATCTTTACGCACGGTCTGGTTTTCCACAGATCTCCTTGAAAACCGTTTCACAAAACTCTTCTGGAAAAGATTTTGGTTATTGAAACATGCTTCCAAGTCTTCCCTTTCGAATGGTAGAAATCGGAGTTCTCTGGCTCTGTTGTATTAAAAGTTATATAAAAAACAACCGAGACCACTGGTTTTTTAGATGGACAATAGTGTCACGTATAGTTGACTCAACAATTCTAAACTAACTTAGAAATATTTAAAGTTGAATTAACTTAGAAAAATTAAACAGATAGAAAACAAATAAGAATAAGACTTTATTGTAGAATAGGCTCTGCGCGCTGGAGAGGATCAACGTTGGCGTTATCGTCAAGGAACGACTGGCAGCTCTGCAAACTTTCGGGCCATTCGCCAGAGCATGCCAGAAAACCTATAAAAAGTTGCTTTGGGTGTTTGCGAGGCCCTTACTATTAGTATTATATCACATGTCACCTTGCTATACAGAAACTGCTCACTCTGAGGTCCGGGTGGTGCGGTCACACCTGAGAGACACTTTTGGAAGAAGTCAGAAAACATGTCTGCTTATTGCTCGATTCTTTTTTCGTAATTAATTGTAGCAGGACTCTTTTAGAATGTACTACGGGTTATTGTTAGTTGCACTGATCTTCATGGAAAGCATCACACGGTGCTTGTCTCTAAGAGAAATTTATGAGCTACCTGAAACATTTCAAAAAATCAAATACAGAAGAAACATAGATCTCCTACTATTGAAAAGATAAACTCTAGAGTAAAAATTACAGGGGAGTGTCGGACATTTTGGACATGGATTTTTAAAGATTACGGGCCTCTGAAATGTCTAGGATTTTCATCACATAGCATCAAAACATCACTTTCCATTAAAGTACACGATAAGTTCGTACGCTTTAGCTCAACCGCTGACAACTTACTTCAATTTTTTGTTCACTCCATGTTATTGTACACGAAATTCTCTGTTTCGTTGTCTATGTTTGTACTTCTTATGTCCGAGCACGAATGTGGTTAAGTTTATAACCATGCAGAACATATCAACGAATGAATGATTACAAGAAACACTCGAAAAAAATGAATAGTAAACACAATTAAAATTTCTTCCTCGCTTTATCAAATTCAAAAGAACCAAAAATGCTTGCGATAACAGCCTCAAAAACACAATGTTTTGTTTCTAAAGAAATCCACCAAAAGTTATTCAGGCATTTTTTTATTAATATTAAAAATTTTTTTGATTTAATTTATTTTTCAGTGTAATAGAGCAGAAAACGAATTTCAGTTATGGTTTACTTTTTGCTTTTTAAAAAAAAGGTTACAAACTTGAAAAAAGACTTTTAATATTAATCCAAGCGGGGTCAGTACATCTTTGCAGAAATCTGGATCTCTGTGAAAGCACCTGCTTCCAAAGAAAAAATTTTGCAATAAAAATATCACTGAAAAAACTCGTGAGGATTTGTATTTATCAGAGAGATAATAATGCTAC